TACTGGTGGCCCTGCATGAAGCGGGACGTAGCTTGGTACGTGGAGAGATGCCTGATCTGCAGAGAGGTCAAGGTGGAGCACCAGAGGCCGCATGGCAAGATGCAGTCGTTAGACATTCCCATGTGGAAATGGGAGGACATTACTATAGACTTTATTACTAAGCTTCCCAGGACCGCACGTGGGGTCGATTCGATATGGTTCATCGTGGATCGATTGACCAAGAGTGCCCACTTTATACCGATCCAGGAGAGCATTTCAGCCGAGATTTACGTACAAGAGGTGGTAGCACGGCATGGAGTGCCTGTCTCAGTAGTGTCAGACCGGGATGTTCATTTTACTTCTAGATTTTGGAAGCGGTTTCACGAGGAGATGGGGACTCGTCTCCACTTCAGCACCGCTTTCCATCCCTAGACGGACGGGCAGAGTGAGAGGACGATTCAGACTCTCGAGGACATGTTACGCGCATGCGTGTTAGATTTCGATGGCAGTTGGGATACGTATCTTCCGTTAGCGGAATTTTCATATAACAACAGTTACCATGCCAGCATAGACCGACCTCCCTTTGAGATGCTCTATGGGAGGAAGTTTAGGACCCCAATCTGTTGGGGCGAGGTCGGTCAGAGAGTTATGGGGAGTACGGAGGTAGTACTCAAGACCACTGAGCGGATCCAGTAGGTCCGAAGCAGGCTCCAGACTGCTCAGAGTCGACAAAAGAGCTACGCCGACAAGCGGCATTCAGACTTGGAATTCCAGGTGGGCGATATGGTCCTCCTGAAGGTGTCACCTTGGAAGGGTGTTATCAGGTTCCGGAAGCGGGGCAAGTTGGGCCCCAGGTTCATAGGTCTGTTTAGGGTTTTGGCCCGGGTGGGTCGGGTTGCTTACCGGTTAGACCTTCCAGCAGAACTCAGCCAGATCCACAGCACTTTGCACATTTCTCAGTTGCGGAAATGCTTAGTGGATGATTCAGCAGTGGTACCCTTTGAGGACATCCAAATTGATGACAGGTTGAACTACATCGAGCGACCCGTAGCTATCCTTGACAGGAAGGCGAAGGATTTGAGGAACAAGAGAGTAGACTTGGTGAAGGTGCAATGGCAACACCACAAGGGCTCAGAGTGGACTTGGGAGCCCGAGGAGGAGATGAGGGAGCACTACCCGGAGTTATTTTCAGATTCAGCAGACTTCGAGGACGAAGTCTAAGGCAAGTGGGGGAGAATTGTAACGCCCCATTCCTGGTACATATTTAGTTCATTAATTTCTCATTTTATAAGAGCTACTCGACGAGTTGGTAGCCCTAACTCGTCGAGTAGATGCCAGATTGATCGCGGGGTTTAAGTGGACTACTCAACGAGTCGGGAATATACTCGGCGAGTATGTCCATCAGGTGGAAACCCTAATCCTTAGGGTTTGCACCCTATTTAAGCAACATTATGGGTCTCCACCCAGCCTCCATCACCTCCACATCCCACTCTTGAAACCCTAAGCAACTATTGAGTGTTATTAAACTTTTCTTGCCTTTTGTGTGATTTGAGGATAGAAGGAGGATGGAAAGGCTAGAAGATCCAAGGAGAAGGCATAAGATCTGGCGTTTGTGTTGCATTTCAGAACTCTTGAAGGTATAAAGCTTGTACCTTGGCTTCTTTCCACTTAGATCTTCATTTAAGTTGTTTATGATCTTTTGGGGCCATTTCTAAGGTCATTTCCGAGTGGAGAGCTTTTGGGGACATAAGGACTTTAGATCTAGGCACTCTTGAGCTCCAGAAGCTCAAAGTTGCCACCTTTATTCAGCCATGTCCCCATTTCATGCATTAGGTTCTCATGTTTAGCTTGGTTTTGGTGTCCTAGCTTTATAACATGATGCATGCACGTAAAGTTAGCAACTTTACGTGAAAGGCTAGCCTAAAGTGTCCAGATCTATGAGTTGGAAGCACTGGAATGGATTAAAATCGACTGAATGGAAGGGTCACAAGGAGGACTCGACGAGTTGTTCTTGGAACTCGGCGAGTCGGGTCGTGAACCCTAACTCCTTTTATGGTTATGAGTGAAACCACTGAGTCAATGAGATGACTCAGTGAGTTGGACAAGAATAGGACTCGGAAGTTAAAGAACTCGACAAGTATGAGTCAATATCTCCCGATGTTATGTCAGGAAGAACTCGACGAGTCTGTTAAAGGACTCGACGAGTGGACTTGATTGACCACGGGTCTGTTTTGGTCACGAACTCGTTGAGTTGGGATAAGACTCGACGAGTAGGGTTGACTGGGATTGACCTTGACTTTGACCTTGACCAAGGGTAAAAAGGTCATCTTATCCTAAGAAAGGATTAGCAGATTCTGATTAAGTGTTATATTGGAATTGATAGTCGGGGGAGTCGCCAGAGCAGCAGACAAGGATCTCACACTAGGGTTTCAGCAATCAGTCTTGCAAGGTGAGTTTCCTTTCCGTAGGAACGAGTCTAAGGCACCAAGGCCGACCCGTAGTATGAAATGTTAGTAGCTGAGTGTGGGCGGGGCCCGTATCTCACAGTTTAGTTTGATTATGGATATTTGTCTGACTGTTAGAATTAGTTATACTTGTTGTCTGTGTGATACTTGTATGTTGGATTAGTGGCTGAGTGTGGGCGGGGCCCGTATCTCACAGTAGATGAGTGTGGGCGGGGCCCGTATCTCATAGTAGTCGAGTGTGGGCGGGGCCCGTATCTCAAAGTAGCTGAGTGTGGGCGGGGCTCGTATCTCAGAGTCAATGGAGTGTGGGCGGGGCCCGTATCTCTTAGTTGTATGATATATGTGTATGGTATGTGGTAGTTTGGGGAACTCACTAAGCTTCATGCTTACAGTTTTCAGTTTTAGTTTCAGGTACTTCCACTAGCAAGGGAAAGGGCTTGGGATGATCGCATGGCACACACCACAGTCATAACCTGGGAGTTTACTCTGATGTTTTATTATGAGAATTCGATTTGAGACAAATACTATGATGTTTTATGATACATGATTTATGATTTTACTTATGACTTTGGATGGTTTATGATTTTAGTAATGATTTGAAAACGAAATTTTTGGGTCATATTTTTGGGTTGTTACAATTTCTTTTTGTGAAATATGTTTTTTTAGAAAAAAAAAAAATTAAAGTTTCGATGGTTAAATCATAAAAGAAAAATCTCTAAGTGGTTAAACCACACAAATTCAAAACAATAATTGTTTTTACAAATCCAATATTCTATGTAGTTATTTTTTATGAAAATAAAAAATTCTCCAAGGTTAAACTAAAAAACAATTGTTTTGGTTGTTAAACCGAAAAAAAGACCAAAATACAATGTGTTTTGAGTGAGTCTCTCTAGAAATTTTTAAACCGAAAAACATAATAGTTTATACAATTTACACCATTATTATATATAATCACACCATGATTGTTAAGATCTCAATCTTGATCTTAAAATCGTAAATCCTACAATCCAAAAACGATATCGATCTCACTAGGATCTATCTGAAGCAAGATCTATAGTGAGATCTTCGGATCCCGACTAAGATCTTAAGATCTTAATACAATCCGATCCCAACTCTATAGTTTTATTATATTGTCGAGCCTACAAAATTATTCTTTTCAACTTGAAATCGAGCATTGCAAGTTGCAAAATCCTCATAGACCATCATCACTTCATTACTTTATCTCGAATTAGGCAAATTACACTCATGATATTCTGTTTTTTTATCTTAAGCCTTTAGTTGTAGATCATAATGATCTTGATTATTTTTTTAATTATGATGTTTTTATCCTAACTTTTGCGGTTTGTAGCAACAAAAATTATGATTCATGTTTAAAAAGTTAAAGTTGACTCCATATTCATTACTTTATCTCGAATTAGGCAAATTACACCCATGATATTCTGTTTTTTTATCTTAAGCCTTTAGTTGTAGATCATAATGATCTTGATTATTTTTTTAATTATGATGTTTTTATCCTAACTTTTGCGGTTTGCAGCAACAAAAATTATGATTCATGTTTAAAAAGTTAAAGTTGACTCCATATTGACGTCTTAATCGACATCAAGTTATAAGTTATACTGCACATGCAAGACCCTACAAACAAATTTGAATATAAGTTCATTTTAGTAGGATTTTCTGATCCCGATTCGATCTTACGATTACAATTTTGCAAACATAAAACGATCTTGAATAAGATCCCGATCTTAATAACCTTGTATCACACAATATCATTAATAAAAAATTACCACATAACATTCTAATGCATCCTCAAAATCCTATATAGTAATAATCACATTTTAATTAATGCTTAAAATAATGAAGAGAAGATCTAAACATCCCGTTGCATCTTCAAAATTTCAAAAATCCTACAGAGACTTAGGAGTGGCAATTTATGACACGACACGACAAAAATACACGACACGAAACGAAATTGGGACGAAACTGAAATTTGAATTCGTGTTCGTGTTAACTATAAAAAATACGATGTCGTGTTGTGTCGTGTTCGTGTTCAAAATTCAACACAAAATTGACACGATTTAGCAATTATTTATCGTGTTTTTCGTGTTTGTCATGTTATATTTGATAAAATATTCATTAAATAAACTAGTTTTTAGTATATGTTATATTTTTTGTGTCGTGTCGTGTTTGTCATTTTTTAATTCGTTCGATTTCGTGTTAGTTAAAAAAACACGACATCGTGTCGTGTCGTATTCGTGTTACATAAAACATTGTCGTGTCAGACAAAAACACGAAACGATAGCACGATTTGCCACCCCTACAGAGACTCACTCAAAACCTTTATAAAAGTAAACACATAACTTCGCTAATGAAAAAAGAAATCAAGTTTTGTAGGATGAATTGAAAAATAAATCAAGTTTTGTAAAGTGTAAAAAGTAAAAACACTTGCAAATTTCAACACGTCATACATTAAAAAAATAATAATAAAATAATAATAATAATAATAATAATAATAATAATAATAATAATTAATTGTGGTTTTAGGAAAAGGGCATTGGCGAAAATAAAGGACGGAAGCAAAATTCTGACTTACTGAGCAATTGATCATATGGAGAACGGTAGAAAGGCATCGTCTTTAAGGTGGGGAATCCTTCGTCGAGCCCTAATTCCTTCTAGTTCGTCCACTGCTTCAGGTAAGATCCGACTCTGGCACATGATTTAACCTACAAATGAGATATAAGCTGATTCTAAGTTATGAATTTGACCAAGCAAGTTATGGATGCTCCGATTGCTAATTATAGATTCCTTTTCTGTTTAAAATTTAACTTGATTCCTGTTGCATTTCTCTCTGTTCGTATAATGGTATTGTGTACGTTCAAACATTTGAAAATCTCAAAACGCCGATGATTACACACGCTTATGGAATGTTGAAATCCGAGACGTGATTTAGAAAATTGATGATGGTGATTACATAAAAGATCGTAATCTCTTATGAAAATGTTGTGCAGATGAGCATTCTGAAAAAGGTATCAAGAGTATTTCCAGAAAAGCGAATCAAGGGTTCAGCTTGATACCTTTCCAGTTAGTTGATACCACTAAGCCTGAACATAAAGAAGTGATTTCCCTTTCATTGCCAAAGGCCACAGAAGCTTGTGTGTGCTATACATTGCCCAATCACAATGCAACTGAGCTTTTCCTTTAGTAAGATTCCTTTAAACTCACTCCTGTTGTATTTCTTTAGGTTTAAGTTCTTTACAGAAAAAGAGAGATTTTGCTTCATATGCAATCATTGCTAACTTATATAATCGGATGCAGTCAGAGAGTGGACAATCGTGCAAACCTTGATGATTTTAAGATCTGTAACACATATGACATTGACAACACAGGCCTTGTTTGTAAGTTTTCTTCACACTCAAAAGATAAGTCCCCATAATAAATACTAGAGTCTTCACTTTTAATGTTTATGTATTTTCTTACTGAAACAGGTTCCTGGCCATCAGAGGAAGTCCTTGCTTATCATTGTTTATCACAACTCGACTTGTTCAGGTTTATTTATAAGTTTCTTCTTACTATTATCATTATCTTTTTGTTTATAATTACACGCACATATACTAAACCTCTTAATTCAGGTCTAAGAGAGTGATTGAACTTGGATCAGGATACGGTTTAGCAGGCTTACTTGTTGCAGCTGTCACTGAGGCATTAGAAGTTGTTATATCAGATGGAAATCCTCAAGTAGTTGATTGTATCCTCTTTTATAACATCCCCAAGCACACGTATCAAGATACTGTCTGCTTTTGGGAATCTGACAATAGGACTTTCTAAGGGGTTACCCATCCTAGTACTACTCTCACCCAAACACGCTTAACCACAAAGTTCTAATGGATCTGGTGTCCTCATGGCTTTAAAATCTTCAATTTTACTTAAAATTGAGTATCCTTAACATTTAGATATTCAGCGTAACATAAATGCAAATTCAAATGTTTTTGGTCTTACAAAAGTGAAATCAATGATGTTGCATTGGAATCACGAAGAGCTCTCAGACATTTCAAACAGTTTTGATATCATTATTGCAAGCGATTGGTAATCTATACAACTTTTTTCGCCTTTATACTCCATAATTCTCTAAAATAATCTCGAATTGTTTTATATAATTTTGTAGTACTTTTTTCAAAGAATTTCATAAAGGCCTTGTTCAGACTATCAAATGTTTGTTGAAAAAAGAAGGGCACTCAGAAGCCATATTTTTGGGCCCTAAAAGAGGCAACTCATTAGATGAGTTTTTAATGGAAGTCAAAGAAAGTGGATTGCAATTTACAGTAAATGAGATTTACAACAGTGAAGTTTGGAGGCGTCATGAGAGCTTCATTAATGGCGACACTTCATGGCCTAACTATGAGAAGGATCATTGCTACCCTTTATTGGTTAGAATTACACTTTAAAATTGAAAAGAAAACTGATAGAATTTTTGTTATCAATTTAAAATAAGGAATTGTTTTTTAGCTTAAAAAGGGATTAATCATTTAATCTTGTTGATATTTTTGTTTGTTTCGTTAATGACAATATCTTTATGTGGTTACTTTTGTTGAGTGAAAAAATACTGTATATTTACCAGAAGTTTTTGTTTTTGGCTAAGAAACGCATTCACATTTTGACTTTATGCTATCGACTTGAAAAGTATTGAACTTTTATGAATGATTTTTGTTAAAGTTTATGATACAAATAACTACAAAACAAAAGACAAAAAAAAAATCATTTTAGTTTCAATGATAGTACATATATCTAGCATTCATTAATATATTTCATATTTTTTTTTTCAAAATAAGAAGTGAATTATTTATACAACCATTATATATAATATTTTAAAATTGGACATCCATTGTATTTGAAAAAATCCACACAAAAGTTGTTTTTTTCATATTAAAACTGAAAACTCTTAACCCCAAGAAACCGGTTGAGTTCCCAAGTTGAACTTTGAATTAGTTTCAAATATTCAATGTAACAAATTATCATTTTTGACCAGTTAAATGAAACAATGTGTTTTTCCATATGATATATTTTTTGTTTTATCGTTTTATGTAAGATTGATGTAAAATGATAAATTTATTAGATTAAACAGTTAAGAAATTTTATCATATTTCTGTCCATAAAGGCATGTTTCACAAACTAGCTGAAAAGCTTTTAGTTAAAAAAAACTAGCTTATGAATCAATAGTATTAAGGTTATATTTGGAATTTTTTTGAAAAAGCTCTATAAATTTATCAAAAGCCATCTCAAAATAGTTTATTAAAAACTAGTTCATAAGTTAAAAGAAACTAATTGTATGGTTTTACCAAAGTTTATTTTTGCTAAAGAAGATCATAGTCTTCTGTCTTTTGAAAACAATCATATTTGACAGATTTGTGGACCATATATTTATTTTCAATATAAGATTCTTTTTAAGGACTATAATGTGGCAATTTAAAAAAAAAATTCCCCACATAGACTGACAAGTCAAGTATTCTTGGATTCACTTTGTGTTGATCCCCATGTGAGTTATGAAAACAAGTATACAAAAAGGCAAACAGTATTCACATGAATGATGCTTAAAATGTCCCAAGTGTTGGTATACACATGCAATGGTGGTTGTGGTGATGCCCTTTTCAATTATACACTTTTATCTTATTAAATTATTTGTTAGGGTATAATCTCGAAATGTTGCCATGTTAATTTGATGAGGTACAAATCGAAAGACTAAAGCATGAGCAAAAGGCCAATCAAGCGACACATCTCCATTATGTTTGAAAAACTAACAATTATATATTTTATAATTAAGGTGAGAAACAATTTTTTGGAATTCATTTTGTTAACAAAGTGCTAGAATAATATAGAGGGCTGCATAATAATGAAATCATAGGTGTCTCATAACCCACAATTGTTGATGGTTACGTTTCCATTTTTAAATGAATTGCTTTTTTAAATTCCATAAACTTTTATTAGATCAATGTGACAATGTGTACAAGATTTATGAGTTTACACTTTTGGTTACTTAAGAAAAAGTTTATAAATATTAGTATATTCTTTCATAAAGGACAATTTTCACATTTAAGTTATGCATTAGATATATTAATATATCTTATCCAAAACCTCTTTTTATCCTTTTTTTTTTCTTTTAGGAATTTTGTTCACAAACTTTTGGAAATTCCTAGACATATTCTTTATTTTCTTGCCATGGTGACGTATGTTTGTGTGTGCAAGAAGGGAAACTATTAAGTATTAAGCGCAAAACAAAAAAAAAGAGTGAAAAACAAAAGCATAAAAAAGCTTATTTTCATATAATTATAATACAAACATTTAATTTTTTCATTAACCGTTGTTTTGATAAGATATTTGTGCTATTAATTTTTTTTTCATAGATTTTCTTATATTTTTCAGTTTGGTCCAAAGGTAAATAGGTTATTTAAAAAAAAAAAATAACAACAGACGTTAAATTATATATATATATATATATATATATATATATATATATATATATATAGCGGTTTAGGTTTTATGGAAAACAAGAAATCCTAAGAATCATAAAAATGCATAAAAAAAAATACTCAGACATTACAAATCTTTTTCTTTTTTATTTTATATTGTGAATTTTCGCAGCTTTTATGTATTTTCGCTGAAAACTTTTTTGATAAAAAAAAAATTCGATTTTTTTTTCAGCGAATTTCTAAAAGAACCTGTGATTTTTTGGTATATAAATTCAAAAAAAAAAGATTTGTGATGTCTAAGTATTTTTTTATGCATTTTTATGATTTTTAAGGTTTTTTTGTTTTCCATATAACCATTCCCTATATATATATATATATATATATATATATATATATATATATATATATATATATATATATATATATTGTTTTGAAGAACAAAAAAGGTATGTATCAGATTGCACTTAATCAAGATTGTCTAATTCAAGATCCATTTTTACATTTACTAAAAAACAAACGTGATTACAAAAAATACTTTATATTACACATGGCATTGGCATGGATCATGCTTACTCAATTATTATGTATTATAATTATAATTTTATGGTATTATAACTCAGCCTTTTGTTTATATATCAAACAGTTTCATGTGAAACCTAAATAAAATCGTAGATGCTAATGTTAAAAGTTAATTATATAATTATATTGTAATATAAACGTTGATTTATCAATTTGGGCTTGTATTTGAGTATCTTTTTATCTTTGTTTTTAACTATTTACGATACATTCTACGAGGGCGCCAAATGACGTGACTCAAATCTCCGGGCGGTCTTCTGGACAGCTGCTACAGGGGGATCTAAGAACATGGTGGATAGTCGTTAGAATCGTCCCAAGGATTGTGCCCCGGGAGCAGGCTCCGACGATCAAGTTAGATCGTTTTGTAGAGATGAGAGGATTCTTCCTTGTCGGAGAGAACCATCTTGGTATTGTGGTGGAGTGTATGGGCATGATGAATGTTGATTCCTTAGGGTTTAAGGATAGTGGAAGGAGTCTGAGGGTAATTCCTCCATGGAGGGGTAATGTTCAATTTATAGATGACAATTAGGTCAAGGGAGGATTAGGTTAGGCCTTACGCCAACCCAATTCAAGCCTAGCTAGCCAAGGGCTAGGCAATGCCTCCTTGGGGCACCAAACAAGGCAGGCAGGCGGGCGCCTAGCAAGGCAGGCAGGCGGGCGCCTAGCAAGGCAGGTTCAGCAGGCAGGTGCTAGGCAAGGCATGGTCGGTAGGTAGGCGTCAGGTAGGGCTGACAAGCGAGTGGTAGGTAGGACAAGTAGGCACGCGCCAAGGAAGGCAGGTCAACGCTAGGCAGGGTTGACACGCTATAGTTGTCTAGGTCATGCTAATGGACCTAACATCATCAACTATAAAATTCAACGCAATGACATGTGAATATTTCATTTTTATACAATTTTGTTATTTAACACATACATTTCAATGAATTCTAGAAAGTTAAATGAAATATTTATTAATAATATAAAAAATGTAATTTTTCTTTTTAATAGTGCATTGTCCATTGACCTTCAAATTAAGGTTGTTAAGATTGAGATTTTATCTAAAAACGTTTTCATTTTGCAATATCGTTAACGTAAAAGCACATCGTGATCGAAAGATCTCCCCAAATTGAATTAGTTATAAGTCTAAATTTGAAAGCATGTCTTTATCTGCTCATTCATAAGTTACATAAAAGTTTGGAACATAGTTATAAGCTTCAAGTTAATATCGCAACTCAAAAACTAACTATCCAATATAATCATAGATGACAAATGATGTACAGGGTCGGATCTACAATACATCCCAAGGTATCCCGGGATGCCCCTCAAAAAAAATTCCAATACTGTAATTTTTTTAGAAAAAATTCATTTATGTGGTCTATATATAAATAATATTAATACGTTTAGCAAGATAATAACACAAGTTGTAGTTGGTTCAAATGATTAAGGCGTTAGGGGTGTTTCTTGAGGTTGCAAATTCAAATCTTCTTTCAAACATTTACTTTCTTTTATATAGTTTTATACGGATTTTATACTTATTTTATTATGATGTTGTGAAAATTAAATACAAATATTGAGTTGTTTAAGTGGTAAAGTGTTGGACTTTTATCTTTGAGGTTCTTATTTCGAATTTTGGTTTACACATGTGTATTTTATTTTGTTTATCAGTTTTCAACTTGTTTCTTAAAATTCTAAAATTGTTCCACATCATCCATAATATGAAACATAACTCTTATACATATTGGGTACTTTATTTTGTTTATCAGTTTTTCAACTTGTTTCTTAAAATTCTAAAATTGTCTCACATCGGCCATAACATGAAACATAACTCTTATACATATGTTATATAAGCAACACACGCTTCTCAATTCTCAACAAGTTAAACTTTCGAATGAGTTTAGGTTTAAACCCGAAACCGAGTTTACCCAAAACCGAGTTTGGAAAACCGAAAAACCGAACCCATCGGTTTGAGTTACTCCTTTACTTTGACCCTGGCTCCACCACTGATGATGTACTAGTATCATTTTCTCATAAAACTCTTTTATCAGGTACAATGAAAACAAAACACAATGCATAAAAAACTTATATTTGTCATCAAACATAAAATCATGGAATAAAAAAATAACAACTCACCAAGTTGGAAGTCTATATGTGACTTTGTGCGATATGCAATGTTCAGTTTTCGAACTTAATCGACGAAGTTTGAGGTTTGATTTTATTATTACAAATGCTGATCTTTTAAAGTTATTTGTTGGATCGTTGTATGACCTATGATCTTTGACCTGATTTCGCTACAAAGTCGATCATATTGTGATCCAAGTCGTTTTTTGCTTATAGGATTACTCATATTAAGAATAAAGATCATAATCTTGACAACCTTGCTAAATAATTCATTGTATATCAACTTGGTGTTCCATTATGGCTTAGTCTAATCCATTGAGTACCAATTAACATTCTACCCCATTCAACTATATATTGTGGATGCTCTTAGTATATATTTTTTTTTCTTTATCTCGCTATATAACGAAGTCATCTATGGAAGCAATTTTTCTAGCCTTATGCGACTTGAAGACGCAGCTA